TGATGTATTAAGTTAAGGTGTCAGCTTATGAAGCTAATCATTATCAGGATGGCTCAATAAAACCAACCGAAAAGACATTTCAGCATGTGGGTTACCCGAGTAATCTAATATGTGTAGAAAAAAGCTGAGCTTGTAAAAGAAAGTCTCTAATTGCTTTAAGTCATTAACAGGAATCTCAGAGCCATTATTTCCAAAGAATCCCCCAGGCCTCCTCAGATTTCCACCAGAGACAACCTCATATATCAAAAACTGCAAGCAATGCACCTGAAATAGCGAAACAGCGATGAGTTTAAGCACTGGGTCTTAACATCCATCTAAACTAATCATGAAATCAACACACACCTGTGCTGCTGTTGGGGCAACTGGCCTCGGGTAAAAGAAGTTTGCTCTGCTTTCATCACCTCCATGTTGCGAAGATGGCATCTCATGTTCGGGTCTGGTATTTGCCATCCAGTCAGCCGAAAGTGTCCGCATATCAGAAAGAATCCTGATATGCAATCATACAAATGACACGGTCAACAATCTGAAAAGCTTAAACTTAAGGGAATGTGAGTTGAAATAAAAATAAAAGAAACGAAAACTTATTTACCTTGAAAGATCTTTCTTTTTTCGGAAGGTGGTACGCAACATTGTGGCTAATGTGTTTTGTACAAAATCTTGAACTTCGGCATGTATTGTCTCCCATAAAGCGTCTGCAACTAATGTGTCACAGCGCTGCAGCATCGATCCTACACTCTTTATATAGCCAACAAGTTCTACCAAGGCTTTTCTTTCTTCTGCAGTATAATTGTACCTCACCACCTATTGAAAATAATTAAAAACTTGTTACCATGAAAGAGAAAAGTATATACTTTAAGAAAATGTTTAAATTGTTAAAATATTCCGCAAGTTTTACCTTCTCGTAGTCAGAATATGATCCGGAAGCTTCCTGCGTCTCTCCTGCATCCCTACACGGGCGAGAGAACTTCCAGGCACATTGCTCCCAAATGCGTGCAGTCCATCTGCTTAACAGTTGGAAACCTTCAACAACCATATCGTACATGTTTCCTTTGACCTCTCTGCACCATTCAGTATATGCTCCATCATTTGACTTCAACAGCAATAACTGCATGAAAGCAAGTGAGAAAAACATTCTAGAGACTCAAGATAAGAGCAAGAAAATCGGAACTCCAGGGAAAGTACTAGTTTGAGCACCTGATTCATGGATGAAGCAAATCGGATTGCGAAATCGTCGTGCTCAGCACGGAGGGCTCCAATGTGATTGACGATCAAATAGTGCCTCTGATATGTAAAATATGTAAAGGCTTGCAATTTTCAAAGCAGTGTTCAATATACAGTAATCCAGATAGTTTTAAAAATAGGTGGGTAACAGTACAAATAGTAAAGGATATTCTAGAGCTTCACGTGGAGGGAGCTCATGAGGTGCTGGAAGAGTCAGAAGGCGAGTTTGTGATGAGAACTTTTGAAAGTATACTGACAATTCTTTCAAAATTGCAGCAGGAGATAGATGGAGGTCGGGAAACGCAGGAATGACAGGATCATTCTGATAACGGATAAACACAACAAAGATGATTAGCAAGTCGTAAACTAGGCTTTGAGGTATATTGGCTGCGAAACTCAGGTATACAATGAACTTCAATACCTTGAAAATGTTGATCAATCTGTTGAGTTTTACCCTCTTGTATAAAGCCTCAGTATCTTTCTCAGATGGTGTTGCTAAAACAACAAGAACGGGCAAGACGCGGAGAAGAATATACCGCTCAGGAAAGAGGAGGGCGAAATCCAACTCCAGAGACTCAACGATGAAGACTATGAGAACTTGGAGAATATCTTCCACACTGATTTTACTTTTAAGGAATCCAAAAAGTTTGAAATATTGTCAAATAGCTTAAGGGACTTTAGCAGCATGCATATCCTGAATAGAGAGACCCATAATAATCTCTGTAACCAAAATAAGTTGACGATAAATGTCTAGACGAAAGGATACTTGTTCACGCGGAACATCTCAACATGCAAATTGAGTAAAATCGCCCATCTTGTGCTCAGGAAAATCTGCATACATAAGAACTCTCCTAAATATTTATGAAAATTCTCAGGGGAAGGCAATAAAAAATTATTGCAATAACAAGCCATGCAATCACCTGTAAGTCATCTAACTCCTCTCTCATTGTATCTGTATCTTGCCACTGGGCACTGACTTGAGTGAATGTTCTGAAAAGAGTGAAACCGAAAAGCCTCTATGAAATTACTTCAACTCTAAAAAAAAAGTGTTAGTAGCCGAGATAAATAGTGATGGCCATAGATCTACCTACACTCAAGTGTCCTATCTACAGAGAGAATGTAAGGCAGGATATTGTAATATCTTTTACCTTTTATACCAAGAGAAATCATTAGGAATGCTAGCTTTAGCATTTTTAAGATGATCAAGCTGAACCAAGACATCAAGCAACTTTAGCATTGACCTATATTAAGTAACACCACTGTTAAGTTATATTCAGGAGGAGTGTTTAAATATTCGAGGATGTATACAGAACATAATAAAGAGAAGTCATAACTCACCAAAGATGTGTGACTGTGGGGCCATTGATGCGCCGTTCAGGTCTTGAAAATCGCTGCATATCAGCAGCTAACTGCACATATATAGAGCATATAGGCAAATTATGTCTTATGCAGGAATGTAAATGAACAGAATCAGAAGGGGAAGGAAGTACACCGTACTTTAGCTGAAGCTGACGATTGCCATCTCTGAATTTCACGTAAACGACTCATTTCTAAGTCCAAAACTTGATATGTTTCTAGATACAAATCTGATTGACTATGCTTCATAGATTCGGGAAGCTGCACGTATATAATTTAAGGAAAAATATGTTATTATGTAAGAGACAAAGTATGAGCACATCCAACAATACATGATAACATATCGAATCTTATTTTAGTAATTTCTATTTTCTAACATCCATTAGTATATTGCTTTCCTTTTTGCGTTATACTTTGTACTTCAAAAGGAATCTCGCACAGTGGGAAATAGTCACTGCTTTCACAAGCTGAACCAAAGATATACCTGAGGCAGTGCTTTGACACAACTTCTATACGTATATAGAATTGATGCCATCTCCTTCCCTTCTTGTATAAGTGTATTCTGCATACAATCAGTCGAAAAATGACTTGAAATACTCAACCAATCTGCATAACTGTACAAAAACAAGTACGAGAAAACAAGAATATAGCTATGAAATCTTAATTCATCAAATGAAGCAAAAGAGGAAGAGTCACATACCAACTGGTTAAGAGCTTTGGTGTCTTCTGATAGAGACAACCGGTATGCTGCAACATCACTATACTCTACAAAATCAACCATCTTAAAATCAGTTGTCTATTATACCAAAAGAGTGAAAAACAAGAGGAAGAAGAAAAAAGACACAAACCGATGGGACTATCGGTTGCTGCTCTTTCAGCTGAAACCATCACAGCTGGTCCTTGGACTTCTGGTTGCTCATCCTATCATGTCCCCAACACAAAATTTCAAAATGCTTGAAGAAAATTTGCTACAGTGTCTCCAAATATTCAAGAAGATACTTAAAAACTATTTTACTTCTAATTAGGCAATACAATTTTGAAGATTATCAAAGATCCGCAAATAAATAGGCAACGAAAATAATTTATCTAGCAAAATGGAACAAAAATGAACAGTTCATCTCCTTTCAAGTCAAATTTCTGAAATTGAACTCCAGAGAGAAGCATTATAGTCAAAGATTGCGAAAAGGATTGATCAAAAGAAGCACAATTTCTAAATTTTGACAACATCGCAACTACCTCTAAGGAGAATGTGGAAAGAGCTGCGATTGCTTCCTCTACAGGAACCGCCATTGTCGTCTATTGACTAACCTGGAAAGATCAGAAGAAGAAGAAGCAATTAGCAGCCGGGAAGTAACATCGGCGAGACTGAAGGAGAAAGATTTCAACTTTGAGTTTCTTACCCAGCAAAAGTGGAGAGCTGTTACTACTTGGAGCCGATTGATTCGGGTTATGTTCTGGTTCTTTGTGGACAGAGATCGAGAAATTCCTAGTACTCTGTCCGAACCAAAGATTTCGCCAAGTTGGAAGCTTTCATTTTTATTTTTTTTTCGTGTAAACGAATATAGAAAAATGTTTCTTTTTTTTTTTCCGGTCCTCTCGACTCTTGTTCGTCTTTTTTACCTCTAACAAAACATTTATCTTTATTTGTCTTTTTGTTATATTGCTCCTACATAAAGAAGTGCTTGAAGATAATTATTTAGTTGTCATCAAGTTTGCTTCACAGAAAAGACAAGATGTAAGGCTTCGTCTTAAAGCTAAATGTTGGGTGTATATAATAGCGTAAACTAGTTTTGGAAATTAGAATATTAGTGAAATGTGACAAAAAACAAAAAAGAATATTAGTGAAATAAAAATCATGTTTAACATTACAAATAACTGGATCCTTCATTTTGCCGCCTTATTATATTCTTTATTTTCCTAATTGTAGATTGATGATAAAATTTTCGGCCAAAGTGGAAGATTACTCACAAACATGATTTTTATTCCAAAAAAAAATGTTGAAAGAATTACGATTCTAATATACAGAAGGAAAATTGGGTTATTTAACACAACAACAACAAAAAAACAGAAATACAACTTTAGAATGAACAGTAAACAAAAATACGTCAAGCTTCTAGAAATAATCAAATATGTAACTATTTGTTTTTGGTTTTACCAAAGCCTAAGCCAATCCGGATCAGATCACTTACTGTTTAACGTTCATGGTTAAGTGTTGGTAGCCTAAGAAAGGACATACGTCACATACCAAAAAGATATGAATTAAGAACAATAATAATCTATAAAAAAAAAAACCAAAGCTGTCTTAGATTCAGAAAGTAACTTCTTTAGTTACAAAAGAACCGAAAAATTCGAC